TATAGTGCAGTAAACACAGTTCCTTATAATAAGTATGATCTACCAAAACTACAAAATCATGAACTTGGGGGCAAAACAGCAAGTATTTTTGGATTTGTATAATTTACTCGTTAGTTTGTCTGACTTCCAAAGCAACCCTAGCCTTTTAATCATTCCCTGCACTTCTTTAGAAAAAACGTTCTATTTCAAGTGCATAATAGACTATTAAGAGTGAGCTTTCAAGCAAATTTGTCTCATTTGACGTTAGACGGTAAATACCTGCCGCCATTTCACGATCCGATATAAAATCAGACAGCCAGCCTTTTTGAATATTGTACGAGCGACCAATTTTCTTATTGAATTTAGATAGCGGGTCTAATAAGTCTGAACCTTGACATAAAGCCAGCTTTCCCAGAGAAAGGGCAATTTTTGAAATCGCTGTCACAATATATACTGACTGGTAACTCATGGTTACTGACTGGTTACTGACTGGTTACTGACTGGTTACTGACTGGTTACTGACTGGTTACTGACTGGTTACTGACTGGTTACTGACTGGTTACTGACTGGTTACTCCTGATTACACAATACACATGGTACATGTCACATGTCAGTTCGCGCTGACATCACCACCAAGATAAGGAAATAAAGCAGGGCTGAAGCAAACAGAATGAGCCCCAGTAACGTAGCACACAATGGTATGTGAGGAATGTAGGCAACACCCTTCACCGTGACTTAGCAACTGACCGTGTTACCTTGTTACCGTCTAGTGCATCTGGTAAGAGAGAATCACAAGAATTTGCTACACAGTTTAAAAGCTGACTGATCCCAAAATTCCGGACATGGGCATCTGGAATTCTGGCAATCGTCTTTAATAATTATTAAGTTACTATTAATTTAGTCTGGCAATCGTCTTCAATACTTATTCAATTATTATGACCTTATTCTGGCGACCGCGACCGTCTTAAATACTTATGCACTTATTATTAACTTACTCTAGCAATCGTCTTCAATACTTATTCACTTATTTTGTGAATACTTGCTATATAAATACTGCAGTGATTGCCAAAATGCATATTGGCAGAGTTCATTAACTTCAGTGAGATGAACACCGTTAAGGGATGATGAGTTCAGTTTTGCGGGGTAAAAGCACGTACTAGAAGTTCCGATGTTATCTACCACAATATGTTGCAACGATTTCTTGGAATCAACACATAAAGCTTAGCACGTACAATTTTCAGCTTATAATCTTATACCAGTCTGTAGATGTGTCTGCTGCATTATAATATTAAATACCAAACTTCTACAAACTGATAATGTGTATATTTTCTAAATAGAGGCTGAACCTTTGTATTTGTGGCCCATTTAAAAAAGTAAAGCATGAAGGTGGAATTTACTAAATGCCCAAATGCCGAGAGGATGATAACCAGAGATAATGAGCTAAAACAGCACGAAGATACTGATAGGCACTAGGTCACTCTGGTTTGGTCTAGTTCCTCGGGCCGCACAATAAGGTGCTTGGTACGTATTGCGAAACAATAGTAGTGATATTAGTAATATGCTGGTTGTGAAAGATGTCGTTGACGAAGAGGTACAAACCCAGGTACTTCTAAATGGAACAAAAACAGTTGCCATGAGGTAAATAACGATAGACCCTGCACTAGGCACTCGTAGTAGCGATTATTTGTATCGTTAATGTGTGCAGAGACTTGTGTCTAAATGGACGGCTTTTTATGTATGTTCGCTATGATAAAAGATGACAAAGATTTAAATGGAAGTAGTTTTTGATGAATGATCATAATAATATGAATGGTAAGAAATATCTTGTGAATTGCGTGTATTAACCGACTGCACCAGCTAAAAGTGAGTCAGTAATTCTGGCGGATTGTTGGGTGGCAATTCGATGGTGGTAAAATGTTTTAGTGCAGCTGTAGTATAGGTCAGGCTGCATACATTTAGAAAGTATACTGTATATGACAAAGTAGAATTAGGTAATCCCCAGGACATGTGTCTGGGGAAGTGATGTTCAGTGTAAACTTTCGTTGATCTTCGGAAGAATAATAATAAATATATGATACACTAACATTTATTTGAAGATATAAAACAGAATCTGAATCATCATCTTCAGTGAACTATGGAGTTACTAACAGATCTGAACAACCAGATCAATAATACTATTATTTGTTGAGTGTAAATACTGTGAAACCCAACTGTGAGTCGCATTAAAACACACTTTTATAGTGGCAGCTCAACTAAAACTATATAACCAATATCATTCCAACACCTCTCATACACTACCTCATAAATATACACTCTATTAAGGTAAAGTGAACAGTATATTCCAATAAACCTGTCAATAAGGTCCCGTCTGTCTGCACTCTCCGCTAGTAAATTAACCCCACATACCAGCCCTCTACCGTTACTAGGGGTAACCCGGGGTAATCAGTCAGTAACCAGATAGTAACCAAGTACCTGTCTGCACTCTCACCACCAAATACCAGTCTTCTACCACCAAATACCAGTCTTCTACCGCTAAATACTAGTCTTCTACCGCTAAATACCAGTCTTCTACTGCTAAATACCAGTATTTTACCGCTAAATACCAGTATTCTACCGCTAAATACCAGTATTCTACCGCTAAATACCAGTCTTCTACCGCTAAATACCAGTCTTCTACTGCTAAATACCAGTATTTTACCGCTAAATACCAGTCTTCTACCGCTAAATACCAGTATTCTACCGCTAAATACCAGTCTTCTACCGCTAAATACCAGTATTCTACTGCTAAATACCAGTATTTTACCGCTAAATACCAGTCTTCTACCGCTAAATACCAGTATTCTACCGCTAAATACCAGTATTCTACCGCTAAATACCAGTCTTCTACCGCTAAATACCAGTCTTCTACTGCTAAATACCAGTATTTTACCGCTAAATACCAGTCTTCTACCGCTAAATACCAGTATTCTACCGCTAAATACCAGTCTTCTACCGCTAAATACCAGTATTCTACTGCTAAATACCAGTATTTTACCGCTAAATACCAGTCTTCTACCGCTAAATACCAGTATTTTACCGCTAAATACCAGTATTCTACCACCAAATACCAGTCTTCTACCGCTAAATACCAGTCTTCTACCGCTAAATACCAGTCTTCTACCGCTAAATACCAGTCTTCTACCGCTAAATACCAGTCTTCTACCGCTAAATACCAGTCTTCTACCGCTAAATACCAGTCTTCTACCGCTAAATACCAGTCTTCTACCGCTAAATACCAGTCTTCTACCACCAAATACCAGTCTTCTACCACCAAATACCAGTATTCTACCGCTAAATACCAGTATTTTACCACCAAATACCAGTCTTCTACCACCAAATACCAGTCTTCTACCGCCTGGTTTAATACATTCTGATCATATTCAGAGTACGTGCACGGTTGAAGCACTATAGCTAACTAGCCAATCACAGTAAAGAACTGAGGTAATCTTCCAATGAGAAGTGTGATCTCGTGTCAGATCAGCCAATAGGAGGAGATGAGCTGAGAGTAACCAGCCAATCAAATGAAAGCAATATAACCTTGTCTCGAAGTGGAATCACCCACGTGTCCAGACTATTCTTTTGTTGTAAAGTTATTAGGAACTCCAGTGCTCACCTCCCCACGTGATAGCTGCTCACCTTGGCACGTGACAAAGTTGAAGTACCAGTCCCCGCGTGTCACGTGTTAATGCACACCGCCCACGTGCCGTGACAGATCGTGCTTGTTAGCTGATACTGTACCAGTTAAAATGAGCAGGTTCAAACGTGCTTGACATAGGGGAAAGTATATTCATAGTTGAGGACTACTGCAATCTCATACCATTTCTCTAAAAAGCTAGATCATAATTCTACATACTATTATAGCACAGATAATCGACCGTGTCCAATAACTAAAATGTAAACCTTATCTAGAAGGATATCTTGGCCATGTAACAGGGACGGTTCATGGACAAGAAGTTACTGAAAACCGAACACGCAGACTCCAACCCGCCTGACTCAGCCTTGACCTCAGTTTCAACAAATTAGCCCACAATTATCAGTTACTCTGAACAAGTCACCAACAGTTATCGTTATAATGTGCATTTGTATTTTATCATTTAAATCTGATTAATCATTAACCATTATAACAGAGCACCAGCTTAGTAAAGCAGTAGTCGAGAGCTTTAATAAAGTTTTATAAATCTTTTAAAATCGTCTAGGATCATTAGATCTAGATGATCTCTTAAATCGGGGAATTAAATGCAACCTTTTTGCAATGATGGCACGCTTTAAACCTTCCTCTGCCCAGAACATGACCTAATACATTTTTAGATCCGGCTCGAGGTTTGATTAATGAGGCCCAGAGAGAGAGGGAGAGAGTCGAGACATTTTAAAGTAATCTGTAGCTGAGATCACAAAGTATAAATTATCACAGACCTCCACTCTAGGAGAAAGCGGCGATCATGATGTTTGGTCTTCAGTTCTAATTTCATCGCGTCATTACGTGAGTTTAATTAGCTTCACCACAACTCTACAATAATTTTTCGTGCAACGTCAAAAATTGCATGTTCATTTCGCAGCATGACGCAACCAGCATGAGAAGAACCATGTCACGTCTTAAAACATTTAAATTGTTCACAATTCGAGAATGTTCTCAGGCTAATTTAAAAGTTTCTCATTCCCCGTCACTTGCACTCTCAGCTGAATTTGATAGAATGTGACGGGAAATATGCTGATATATATATATATAACAGAGGAGGCTTAATTCTATTTCAGACATCAAGAATACGATTGATGGTACGTCAAGTAAATGAATGTGCAACATAGAGTCGGTGTTAGGTCCTCATGGGGTAACGTCATTACATTGAGTGTGGGGGAGTTTGGTTGGAGAGCTGCTTTAAAGAACTGTGGTGTTGCTGTAACTCTTTTATTTCAGTGATACACACGTCGATTGACCCGCTACTTTATTTCGGCGAAACAAATCTTTTATTTCAGTGATACACACGTTGATTGCGAAATCCACAACTTCAAACAACGAACATAGTAAGAGTGTAACTATCAGTTATACTAAGCTTGATTGCGAAATATGTGCGGAGCTACAAACAAACAAACAAAGTAAAAAATTAATCAACACTCAACAAATATTATAAAAAAATCTCTGAAAATCAACATGTAGGAAAAAAATAATCATCATGTGTCTTTACTTGCACTCTTTATTTCTGAATATGCCAGAACACAAAAATCAATAATAATAAACCATTCAAGATTTGTCAACACAGCCTCCCCTCAAACGCCCTTATAACTATCTCTCTTCCCTCCAGGTCCAAGCTTACTACCCTCATTAGGGATCAGAAGGGTGGAACCCTTCTGATTCTTCCTGATGTGTCTACAGTTCAGGTAGCCAAACACACCGGCTATCAAACAACACAACCCAAACAACACCCACAGTACAATAATGAATTGTTGCTTGGGTTTGAACACTTTGGCTTTGAATGTGTTGACCAGATCCTCATCCATGCCTCCCGTCTCCACGATGTTAGAGATAGGAACAAACCTGGGACTCTCCCTCAGGTCACCAAGATGAGGGAACATAGGTAGTTTCATTATCATCATGTTTGCTTGGAGTTGTTTCTTAGCTTTAACCAGAGCACCCGTAACCGGTTCCACCCACAGATTAGTGTCCATGGTCTCGTCAGCTGGTGCTAGTCCTGTTATCTCGTCCTGTAGCCAGGGTTCCGCGTCCAGGAAGGAGGGTTTAGAAGCAAATACAGGAGCCATCACCGCAGCTGTTAGGTTCATCAACCCATCAGGTCCGTACGCGTAGAACCCATCGTTCAGAGGATTGTTAGTAGCGTTCATCATTACGTACTTGGGTATCTTGTACTTGTACGTAGGCAGGGTCAGGGTAACATCCTCTTTAACGAACTCCAGAGGGTTAGCTCTGAAGAGATCATCCACGAAGGTGGTGATGGACTTAGTCTTGTCCAGGTTTGGTGCAAAGAACAGCCCTTCTGTGCCGTTTATCGTGGCTGCTTCATCTGTCTTCCAGTAAGGTAATTTTTTGTAACCCTGCCACGCTGTGTACTCACCCAGCTGGGAGATGTTCTTTCGTCCGGTCCGGATCTTGCTGATGGAGTTGATGTCTCGTTCGCTCATGTTGGCACAGAGCTGGACTCTGTCGTTGAGGTCCGGCATTGCTACTTTAAGAATAGTCAGGAACTTGTCAGTGTAGCCAAATACAACATCATTCACCGACCTGGGTGCGACAAAAAGTTACTAAATGTAACAACTATTCGACTGGGTCTGGAAAATAACTTGAACAGTTTGATTGATGATAAATTAAATGCATTATCTAGAAAATCGTTATAATAATTTAAAACTGACCTGGTCATGAATAGTGTTTGTTCGTGCTCCAGCTTGGCCATAGCAACAGCTCCCGCAATCTGAGCTTTAGTCCCACTGATAGTCAAATTATAAGCAACTCCCACGTAGGCCAGGTTAAAGGTAGTAAACAAATCTTTAACGGGATCCAGAGGAGCACTGCCGTTAGTTCTGTTGTTGTTAGTAGTATTGTAGTCGAACTCGTACCATTTCTTCTCTCCGAACCACAGCTCCTGATCGTACACCTCCTCTACGTTAACTCTTTCTCGGTACTCCCGGAAGTAGTACGGTCCTATAGGTTCCAATATGGGCTGTCCACCTGCTGTCACGTTGGCTTGGTTTGTCACGTTGTAGACTGTCACTATCTTGAAGATTGCCGGAGTGGGAGCCAGCCACTGGTCAAAACTCAAGGTCCCGTTTGTCAGGACAACTTGGCTGTTTACCAGGTCTTGGAAGATGATGGGGAAGAGGACAACAGTGAAGACAATCATGAAGATGGAGAAGACGGAGAAAAAGGTCTGGCAACAAAAGAAGCATTTAGCTCGGGGTTTTGCGGAGTCTTCTAGAGTGTTCCATTGGTAGGGACACGACATACCTTGAGGGGAAACTCTTTTTAAGTTACAAGTTGTGGTGTGGAAGGTATTTAGGTGATATTTCATCTACTATGATTTTGGGGTGAAATCTGTAACTTGTTGTATTGTACAGCCTTTCCTAAGAGATGTATATAGCCAAATTAATAAATTTAATATTGTCCTTTCTCATACAATTAATTAATAAAGCCTAGCTGTAGTTCTTATTAAACAAATTACCTACATAAAATGTGTAAACTAACTTATCCATTCTAAATTAGTCTCGTAAAAATATATTGAATTGGTGTTTAATGTCTATTTCCGAGACTATTTCCATTCTACCTACACTGTATGTGTTCTCAAAGAGCTTTTTCAAATCAATAATATTAATTATTATACACGCATAATATCATGCAGTGCATCATATGCAATAACCTGCACACATCTGTTTTACACAATATGAGAGATTATGTTGATTAGCTCGCAAGACGGGGTGACAAAAGAATAGACAGCCCGACAGGTTAATAGGATATACTGGATGGCTAATTTCGTAGATTAAATGACATATTTAAGATAAAATGACATATTTCATGATTGTTTTCAATTAAAATTGAGTGGCTGACAATTATATTTAGTAGACGATCAAGAGGAGTGTCGGCGTGTTTTTAAGATATGTTTTGTGGTGAAAGTGTCGTTTGAAGGTGTCGTGTGAAGGTCATTATGAAGGTGTCGATTCATGGTGTCGTTTAAGGGTGTCGTGACTTCTGACTGCCCGTTTCACAGAGTAATATTTGTTGTGTGAAGGTGTTTTGAAGGAATGTGTACTCAACAGCGTAATTATGTATTTGTGTTTGGTAATGTAAACAATGGGATGTGGCTACTATCCTTTGACAAGTTGCTGTTCTGATGTTTTATAATATTACAGCGTTTGTCTTATGAAAATTGGCATTGAGTATAACTTAAACATTAAAATATGGTGTGTGTAAAATATGGTGTGTGTAAAATATGGTGTGTGTAAAATATTAGATGTCGAGCGACGTTAAATCTGTCATGAAAAGTATTTTGGGCTGTAAAGTTTTTAAAGTTTTAAGTGTAAAAGCGGAAAATTACTCCGCACGAACACGAGTCACAAATCGAAACAGAAAGAAAGGATTTGAACGGAGAACATATTTGTAAAACTTGGATCATGTGACCGGACATACAGCCACTGTATTACAATTTACAATTTACAGTGTAATACAACATCAAAAAGTTATAAAGTCAGTACAGATAATGTGCTTCCTACCAAAAAGAAAGAGATAAAGGGAAAGAGCGCTGTATTTTGTAATATGATAACTACTCGTATGCCAACTTGTGATATGAGGTGATGAGGTCATTCGAACTCGTGATATTAAAAATCTAGCATAATCTTAATGTGTGTTTTAATGTTATCTTTGTTAAAATGTAGCGATTATATTGATATCTTAAAATAATCTTAAATATCTTAGAAATTTTGTTGATTACTGTGGCTATCTCTATAATCTATATCGATACATGATTACATCTTGATTTATACATTATATTGATATTAATCATTGATTGCTCTAAAATTACTGTCACCAATTAATTAATCAATTAAAGCTCCATCTTTAGACTGTCAATATTGTAACACGAGACCACCCTAATTTGTTAGCACTTCAATTAATGTTCTACACACCACTCTAACTTCAAATTACTAATTGCAATTTACATTCGATGATTGGATTTCTTAATAACAAGTGGATTCGGACCAGTAGAACCAGTATAATCGGTGATTTAATATCATCCAGTTCGTGACTGTCTGACAAGTTGGAGATATTCTAGTAACCAGTAACCAGTTCCCTGGTAACTAGTAACCAAGTAACCAGTAGAATCAGAGATTTTACCCGTATCAGATTTTACCCGAATCAGAGATTTAATATCGTCCATTTCGTGACTGTCTGACAAGTTGGCAAGAAGACCGTTCAAAAACTTAACTCAATAAGTCGATCTCGAGGCATAAAAAGTTGTATTTTAAACATCATTCTGGTTGTCAAACCGCAGCACTTTCGGATATTGTCAGTGATTAAAACTCTATAAATCTACTCCATCTATCTGAGTATTAGTGGTTATAATAATGCTTTATAATAGTATTTAAACTCCCTTACATAATATCCCAACTCGTACCATGTTATGTGGTATCAAGTAAACCTTGATTAGATTCTCTAGAAGAATTAACGGCTGGTAGGCTGCCTTCTACCAGATTTTGGATTGCTGTAAAGAGTTGACGGCTACCTTCCCCCGTGTATTGGAGCAACTATTATAGTGACGTCACTCTGACTGTCACGACGTGCAGAGTTGTCAGGTTGAGTCTGTGCTACAACAGATATTCTGGTAACCTGTGTCCAGTAACCGGCGTGGTAATCTAGCTACCAGTAACCCGTAAACTAGTAAGCAGTAACGAGTAAACTAGTAAGCAGTAACCAGTAAACTAGTAAGCAGTAACGAGTAAACTAGTAAGCAGTAACCAGTAAACTAGTAAGCAGTAACGAGTAAACTAGTAAGCAGTAACGAGTAAACTAGTAAGCAGTAACCAGTAAACTAGTAAGCAGTAACCAGTAAACTAGTAAGCAGTAACCAGTAAACTAGTAAGCAGTAACCAGTAAACTAGTAAGCAGTAACCAGTAAACTAGTAAGCAGTAACCAGTAACCCCATCAGATAATCCCAGGTGATAAAACCAGTGCATGACAATGCGTGTTGAGGCACTTAAAGAGCTCGCAGCATTTAGCCGATCGAACAGCGGTCATTTTAGCGGTTTTAGACATTCTCTGTTTTACTATGATCAGGAATCAAATTGTCAGGTACTCGTGCAGAGTTATAATAGGGCAAGCACTGAATCCATCACAATCGAAGCAAACCTTAGTTCGGCGCCGTGACTTTATTTCCTTATTAGGTAACCATATCACGTGACTTTACTTGTCTGAGACTCATTTTAAATGGTTTAAAACGATTCCATGGAAGGTTTCATTTTGTCGTGAGGTAAAATGAATGGTCAGTAGAATTCGTCCACTACAGGTTATTATACAGGCACTGCGCAGTACTAAGACAAGATGTCTCAAAGTTTATTGGAGAGAGCAGAGAGCAGTGAGCAGTGGTAAATTAGCAGTGCTAAATAAACCTGTGCGTGATCAAACTTTGAAAATCAATTCTACTGAGTCTTGATCATGAGTAAGTATTCGTTATTAGACCTCTTATCACGCACTGACAAGATAAGATATTAGCGACATATTACAAGTAGTATTATGTAGTATACTTATACTATAAACAATAGATGGGTTCTGCTTATTTCAGATGTAACATTTGCATTAAAGCGATTATCAGAACTTAACAGGGGGCCTTCCACAGAAAATGACGGGTCAATTTTAGAATTTCTTAACTGAAAACTTCAATCTGAAAGTTTTCTGTTACTCAACTCCGGATACGAGTCTTTGATGATGAAGTGTGCTCTCAAATATGCAATTTATCAGGCTGAGATTAAGTGAAATAATATTATCAGTAGATAACATAAATACCATGATTACAAAGGATCATAAGTCTAGCAGTTAGCCTAGTTTCTGTGTGAATCAGACCAGTTTTTGTGTGAATTAGACTAATTTTGTGGGTTACACTGTAAAACCTAACGACCTAGACAGTAATAACACAGACAAGGAGACAGAGATTAACATGTAGCCTAGGCAGTACACAGAGGAGGATAACCCTGCAGAGGATGTTGTCATGATATTATGAGCTGTAGAAATACATGACGTACTGTCTAGCTTATCACTGTACATCACTACATTATAAGCTACCTAATAGTACACTGTAAA